AACAAATAAATAAAAATATGTACCAAAGGTCCCAGGTTCGATTCCGGTCAAGGGCATGTACCTGGGTTGAAGGCAAATCCCCAGTAGGGGGTGTGCAGGGTCCAATATAGCTCAACAGGGCACTGACCGGAGGCCCATAACCCTTAGCAGCAGTAACAAGGCATGTCCGCTGCTCAAGAACTGTGGCGGCAGCAGCAGCAAAGCTGGAGGAAGCTTCAATGAACTAACTCAGTTCTCGGGTCTCCTCTGCACTTCCCTGTGCTGTACAGACTTTTATAGACAGAAAATTCTCATTTTTCCTTGGTGCCTAATGAAACTTGGTTTCAAGTCACCACCTGTGATACACCATTACCTCCCCCCCCCCCCCCCCCCCCCCGCCCAGAAATATGAAAAGCATTTATTCCATATATTGCACTGCTGCAATACTCTAAGCCTGGCCATCCACCTTCCTTTACCTACCAATGGAGAACCCCAGGATTGCTTTCCCTGGTATAAAACTATGCATACTCCTAGTTGATCTTTTAGATACTCTTGTTTGTTGGTGGTTAGTTCATACCTGAAAAGGAAAAATAAAAATTGCCAAGCAAGTGATGCTATCTCAGAACTGAATTTACCTTTAAGCTTCTCACAGAAAATCAAGTTTGGATTGTGTGGATCCACTCATTGGTGGATTTTTATTTTCTATTTTTTAAGTAAGTACACAGTCATTCCTATACCCCCAGGTTTTACATTCACGGATTCAACCGAGGATAAAAAACTGTTTTCCCTATGGTTGGGGATCTGCAGATGGAGGGCTGACTGTAGGCACTGTTCTATGCCATCCTATATAATAAAAGCACAGTATGCAAATTGACCAAAAAGCAGAATGAGTGGTCGTAATGATGTGCACTGACAATCGGGGACAGAAGCTTAACACGGGAGCTGCGCCCTGGTGGTCAGAGGGCTCCCACAGGGGGAGCACAGCTCATCCTGAAGGTAGACTCACGGCTGGAGTGGAGCCTAGATGGTGGGAGCCTCTCCTGCCTCCGCTGCAAGTGGGTGTTAAGGAGTCAGGGGTCCTGGACTGCAAGTGCCTCAGAATATGAGAGCCCCAGACTGCAAGAAAGCGCAGGCAGAGAGGTTGAGGGACACCCTCCACCCCGCAATGCCCAGTGTACGAGCATCATGCATCATACTTCTAATTTTTAATAAGGGACTTGAACATCCATGGATGTGGTATCCACTGGGTGGTCCTGGAGCCAATCCCTTTTATATACCAAGGTATGATTATAGTTAAGCTTTAGGGGAGTCAACAGTTACACTCACATTTTCCACTATGTAAGAATGGGGGATTGGTGCCCTAAACCCTAGTAGCTCAAGGTTCAACTGTATTGCTAATGCACACAAACAGTCCATTACATGGATTTACCAAAACTAATTTATCCATTTTTGAAAATATTTTTGTATTGATGCACTCTTCTCAATTCTTTTGTATTCTGAACAATAATAGAACCATCTTTAAAAAAAAAATATATATATATATATATATTGGTTTTTTACAGAGAGGAATGGAGAGAGATAGAGAGTTAGAAACATCGATGAGAGAAACATCATCTAGCTGCCTCCTGCACACCCCCTACTGGGGATGTGCCTGCAACCAATGTACATGCCTTTGACCGGAATTGAATCTGGGACCCTTCAGTCCATAGGCCAATGCTCTATCCACCCAGCTACACCGGTTTCGGCAATCATTATCTTTTAATGTACATTTTGCAATTTGTCTGGTTATTTCTTGAGAATAGCTGGATTTGAATTGATGGGTAAAATGCAGACATATGTACCTAAGGTTTTAAAACAATTGAAAAGCTGAACTTTCAACCATTGAGGTTTGATTAGTTTATGTGCCAAGAATAACCTGTGTCATCTGGCTCACACCCAGGCCAATTCCAGGAATTAGCACGCCTCCCCATCTTTGCTGAATCAGGAGGTGAGCCAAGTGAAAATGGTCACATCTGTGTCTTGTTAGAAATTCTGGCGTTACCAGTAAAGGTGGACTTTCCTTTTGTATGTCCAGGTGGACTGTGATGCTGTTTTCTGGAGATGGTCTCTGTGCTGCAGGGGGCTCTTCTGCGAGAAGATGGGGCCTTACCATTGCCATCCTCTCCTACTTCCCCATACCTCACAGAGGCCCCAGGTCAGGGAGAGGGAGGGCTCTCATGCTTATGCCATGTGGGGCCAGTGCAATGAAAAATGGCCACAGGAGAAGAAAAGAGGAACTTGCTCTAATCATACACAGTGAAGAATGGGAAGTCATTGTAGAGGCAGAAAACTGCTAACTACAAGAGGAGGCTGGAAGGTGTCCTATGAGAAATGGACAAGGACACAATTCACACAGCAGAGACAGAGAAACAGGTACAGAGACACAGACAGTGCAGGACGGTGGCTGACAATGAGGCAGCAGAAGTGAGGAAGAAGCTTCCAGAAGCTCCGAGCCACATAGTCTGTGGCTGTGTCACACATTAGCCCTGTGATTTGGGAGTTTGGCTCACTCTGCTAAGCCTTAGCTTCCTGTTCTATAAAATAGGATAACAGAACTAGTATGTCATGGCAATATTGCGAGAACTGAGAACTGTGTCAGCCACTGTCTTACTATATTTAAATTCTCAACAAACTTTATTTCTTAGAAACTCTATCACAGTGAAAGGACCTTCTATTCTTAGAAAGGTCATCTAGTTAGTGCAAATTTCAACTCAGGGCTCTTGTCACATTGTCCAAACTGACCATGAAAATCAGTCTCAAGCTGGTTCATTTTTCCTTTCCCTTTAGTACCTCATGTTGATAACCTCTGTAGCCCTCTGTGATGTCCCCAAGAATGACCTTTTTACAAGCAGTCCTCTAGCCCCTTGCAAATACTGCCAACTCCTCCTCTCTGACAAACGAGCCAATAATACACAGTTGGGAGAGGTTAGTTTCTCTTCAATAAACAGTGCTGGGAAAGCTAGGAACTCACATCCAAAGGAATGAAATAAGACCTTTATATTGAGTCAATTATTTATTTGTGTTTTTTTTTCCAACATGAAAAATACTTATCCTACAAAGCAAAAATGATACAGAGAAATTCTAACCTTCATTTTTGTTCTTTAACTGCCCGTTTCTTAAAGAAAATTGCCAAAATCCATAGATTTGGCAGAACATATGCTCAGAAATTTAACCCAATATAGAGATAGCAAATGCACATCTGAAATAAGTCTCACCATAAACCCTTAGAAGAAAATGGAACTGAACAATGACATAGCATGACAAAGTTACAAAAAAAATTTAAATAAAGGACGACTGACCAAAGCAACTCTTTTCTAGAATGTGGAGGAATTAAATCTGTCTTAGACTGCTGGAAGGATGCAAAAATGTGCAATTGGCTTAAATCACAACTTTCTAATCTCTCTAAGTTAAACATTCACCTCTCTTCTGACTTGTATTTCAATACATTGCATTATGAGTTATTAATGAAGATCAATTAAACCCATCTCCATTATAAGAATTATGCACAATCCCTATTAGGCCAGTGATTCTGTAGCAGTTATGCTTTCCCTTAAACCCTACTTTCCTATACCCAAGTGACCATCACACATGGAGTTGCAAACATTAGGTCACATGGCCCTTTGCAGTCTTTGAAAGAGATTGCCTCCAAAAGTATGGGCACACCCTGTGAACAGTCTGATGACAATGAAAGTGATGTTTCTGGCAAAATATTTCCCACATTCACTGCAATCCTGAGGCCTTTCTCATGTGAACTCTCTAATGACGATGCAAGTATTTGTTCATGGCAAACAACTGCCCACACTGACTGTATTCATAAGGCTTTTCAATAATGTGAAGTCTCTGATAGTGACGGAGGACATGGCTAGTGGTGAAAGATTTACCACACTGACTGCACTCATCAGGCCTTTCTCCAGTGTTAAGTGTCTGATGTCGACGAAGGCCATTACCAGTGGTAAAAGATTTCCCACACTGACTGCATTCATGTTTTTCTCCAGTGTGAAGTCTCTGATGTTGACCAAGGCCATCACCAGTGGTAAAAGATTTCCCACACTGACTGCATTCATGTTTTTCTCCAGTGTGAAGTCTCTGATGTTGACCAAGGCCATCACCAGGGTTAAAAGATTTCCCACACTGACTGCATTCATGTTTTTCTCCAGTGTGACATTTCTGATGATCACTCAAATGACAGCTCCTGGTAAAAGATTTCCCACATTAACTACCCTTGTACGGCCTTTCTCCATTGTGAAGTCTCTGATGACGAAGGAGGTGTCCGCTAGAGGTAAAGGATTTCCCACACTGAGTACACTCATAAGGCCTTTTTCCAGTGTGAACACTCTGATGAAAAAGGAGGCTTTTGCTAGTGGTAAAAGATTCCCCACACTGACTGCATTCATGTATTTTTCTAGTGTGAAGTCTCTGATGTCGACCAAGGCCATCACCAGTGGTAAAAGATTCCCCACACTGACTGCATTCATGTATTTTTCTAGTGTGAAGTCTCTGATGTCGACCAAAGCCATCACCAGTGGTAAAAGTTTTCCCACACTGACTGCATTCATGTTTTTCTCCAGTGTGACATTTCTGATGATCACTCAAATGACAGCTCCTGATAAAAGATTTCCCACATTCACTGCACTTGTAAGGCCTTTCTCCAGTGTGAAGTCTCTGATGACGAAGGAGGTTTCCGCTAGTGGTAAAGGATTTCCCACACTGAGTGCACTCGTAAGGCCTTTCTCCAGTGTGAACCCTCTGATGACAAAGGAGGCTTTTGCTATCGGTAAAAGATTTCCCACACTGAGTGCACTCATAAGGCCTTTCTCCAGTGTGAACCCTCTGATGAAAACGAAGGTTTCCGCTAGTGGTAAAAGATTTCCCACACTGAGTGCACTCATAAGGCCTTTCTCCAGTGTGAACGCTCTGATGACGACGGAGGTTTCTGCTAGTGGTAAAAGATTTCCCACACTGAGTGCACTCATAACGCCTTTCTACAGTGTGAAGTCTCTGATGACAACGGAGGTTTCCGCTAGTGGTAAAAGATTTCCCACACTGAGTGCACTCATAAGGCCTTTCTCCATTGTGAAGTCTCTGATGACAAAGGAGGTTTCTGCTAGTGGTAAAGGATTTCCCACACTGAGTGCACTTGTAAGCCCTTTCTCCAGTGTGAACCCTCTGATGATGACGGAGGTTTCTGCTATCGGCAAAAGATTTCCCACCCTGATTGCACTCATAAGTCCTTTCTCCATTGTGAAGTCTCTGATGACGACAGAGGTTTCCCATATCGGTAAAAGATTTCCCACACTGACTGCATTCGTGTTTTTCTCCGCTGTGACATTTCTGATGACGACGCAAATTACAGCTTCTGGTAAAAGATTTTCCACACTGACTGCACTCATAAGGCCTTTCTCCAGTGTGAAGTCTCTGATGGCCATAAAGTCTAGAGATTGTGGCAAAATATTTCCCACATTCAACACACTCATATGGCTTTTCTCCAGTGTGAACTCTCTGGTGTTCAACGAGGGTTGAAGATTGACTAAAGGATTTTCCACACTCATCACATTTATATGGCTTTTCTCCAGTGTGAACTCTCTGGTGTTGCACAAGGGCTCCCCTGTGGATAAAGAATTTCCCACATTCAGCACACTCATGACACTTTTCTATAGAATGAACTTGCTGGTGTTGAATGAGTGTGGAGTGTTTTCTATAGCATCTCCCACATTCACTGCACTTGTATGGCCTTTCTCCTGTGTGATATTTCTGATGATAATGGAGGTCAGAGATTTTTGTAAAAGACTTCTCACATTCACGGCACACAAGACACTGTATTCCATTATGGACACTATGGTCCTGAGCAAGCAACTGGTTGCAGCCAATGGTTTTCTTGCTGAAATAAAACTGCTTTGCACATGCTCCACACCTCAACAGTTTCAGGCTATGTGGTGTTCCCTGCTGTTCAAACAAGTAAAAGATGTCTTTCAGGACTCGCCCACAACTCTCACAGGGATGGCTCTTCTGGGAGGATAAAGCTACCTTGGGGTTCTTTGCCTGCGACACTCTCACAGAAATAAGCTCTTCAGTAGGTACCTCCACATCCTCTGCTCCACAGCAGCAACCTAGAGAGGATGTGAGTTCAAAGTTCTCCAGCATCACTTCCAGGAACAGGTGTCTCTGAACCTCATCAAGGAGGCACCATTCCTCCTTAGAGAAGCGCACAGCAACATCCTCAAAGGTCACACCAACCTCAGATGGGGGCCTCTGTGGGTTGAATGCGGTGAGGGTGACAGGAGAGGGGGCAGCCAGGGGCACAGTGGTTCCTGTCCCAGGCCCAGAAATGGTCACCTGAGAGGCTGGTTGGTGGGGATCAGGACTCTTGCGCCTTCTCATTCTGGCATCTGTAGCAAGACTCAGTGCTTAGGATGCTCTGACCCACTTTGGCGATCCTGAGAAAAGAGGAAATGACCATCAGAAGGAGAGCACTGGAAGTCAACTATTGACTTTATTTATTCCTAGGCATATGCCCTTGACAGGAATCAAATCTGGAGCCTTCAGTCCACTTCTTTCCCTAAGCAAAACTAGCTAGGGTCAATTGTTGACTTTAAAAATGACAAACAACTGCACTGCAAAGCTTTGTATAAGAACCTGATGTAATCTGTTTGAGTAAGCATAGCTTAAAATGAGTCACTTTACCAATGTCCTAAAGTACACTTGTTGCCTGAGTTTTGAAATAATTTGGATGGATTAAACAAACTCGTTTTTGGCTACAAAATATAAGAGAATTGCTACAGATTTCAGATGAAAAGTTGTCTTGAAATGATGGACATTCTTACAGAACTAATTACAGGGAGACATAAAATAACTTTGACATAAAATAATTTTCTTCTAGGATAAATTTTTTTTAAATGGATGAAAAAGCAGTAACAAAAAAGACATTCATAACATTAACAAAAACACTAACTGAGAAGCCAAAATGGGGGCATAGGTAAACACATGCTATGCTGCCTCACACAACACTTTTATTTTATTTATTTAATTTTAATTAATTTTTTTTTTTTGGAGGGGCAGAGAGTTGCTGTTTATTGAGATTCAGGGATTTTTATATTCTGGCTCAGTGTTGGCGATTCCCCATGCCATCTTCAGACAAAACTGGTCGAAACTCTGAGGCCAAGAAAGGCTACATCCCTTCCCAAGGTCACACAGTCTGCCACCTGGCAGGGGATGGTGACTGACCATATCTGCCCAGCCAGGCTATGAGCTGAGAGTCAGAGAGACTTGACTGACAGGCTGGGATCATGACTCATGGGAAGTCCTGAGAGAGAAGAGGACTAACTATTCTGAGACATACTGTGCCCAGCCATGAGTTATGCTCCCTTTACAGAAGAAGAAATAGGCATTCAGAGGCCACATGGCCTGTTCAGGGAAGACAGACCCTGAGAGGTGGTGAGGGCCAGGGAGCACACAGCAACTGGGCTTCCATGGGCAGAGAGTTTCCTGAAGGGAACGGCTGGGGAAGGTTAGACAGTGGGAAAGTGACCCACAAACCAGGGAAGGGTCCTCCTGAAACACTGCGTCACCCGAGGGGCAGACTGCCCTGTGTGCAGGGCCCTGCGCTGGGAGCTGGGGTCCAGAGATAGGACTATGTGACAGGAGACATCTGACACCGTGGGAAGGACACTGCCCTTGAACCTTACAATATTACTGCTGGTCAGTGGAGGGAAGGGAGCTAGGAGCTGAGGATCTGAGGACTGACACATAACCTTGGACGTAACCTTGTCCAAGTCGGTCAAGAGGGACAGGAACATTATTGAAACACTGTGTTTTTCAATTTATATACAATAGGTCTTCCCCACATGCATGATCTCAGCCCTCAGAAAATTCCCGGAGGCTGGAATTATTATCGCCATTTTACAGATGGGGAAAGGGATGTCCACTTCATGCTCAGGTCCAGGCCCCAGGTATATTGTGGGTTAGATTTGAACCCAGGTCTCAGCCTGAATCCAGAGACTGTGCGCCCGTCCAGACCCCAAGCCATCTTCCAGGCAGAGAATAATCATCAGCCTTCTTACCTATATCAGGAGAATATTCCGATCTGAAACTCATTCAGCATGTCGTGACTGAGCACCTGTGTGCCAGGCCCTGGGGCTGGCTTGCTCTTGTTGCTATGCCACAGCCCTGCCTGTCCTGAGAAACAAAACCCTGGTTGCTAAGAGAGATGGGGAAGGAGAGGCAGTTGGGGTCACAGAAGGGAATCCAAGCCTGTCTGACCTCAGTGAGTCCTGGGGAAGCAGGGAAACCACTAGACATCAGCATTTGACTCGTTTTCCTAAGCCAATGGCCCCGTCACCATGAGGGTCTGCTGCAGGCCCCTGCCTGCTGACACAACAGGTCTTTTGCTCCGTCTTGGAGGAGAGTGTGCTGCTGGGATGAGGAGTAAGATATTTTGCATATAAAATAAGTACATCACCTGAAAATAAGCTTTCTTTGTGGAGGCTGGGGGTTCTGGAGAGATCGAGAGCCTGCGAGGTGGAACGTGATTGAACACCCTGCTGTAAATGAGTCTAGAGAGGCCAGGCCGTCGCACAACAATTTTAAAACTACAACTAAAAGACAAAACAAACATCATCCAGAACCACAAGAAGGTTTGCTGAGTGGAAATTTTACAACCAGAAAGAAAGATAAAGGCACACTGACACTGAGAGGAATTGCAGAAGTAAAGGCAGAAGTAGAGAGATGCACATGGAGAGGCCTGGCAAATGAGTACGTGGCTGTCTTTATCAGGTGGGAGGAGAGAAAAGCTCCTGAATGCTCTGAACTCCAGTTGTGCGTGAGACTGGGAACCCAGACTCATACGGGGTGAAAGTGGACTGTCTGACACCAGGGGGAACACAAGGGCAGCTTTCTCTCAGAGGTGCGTGCAGTGATTACTGCAGGACACTGAGACTCCGGCGCCTCTGAGGGCAGGGCTGATGGGAAGCAATTGCTGTTTCCTCTTCCCTGAGACTCTGTCCCATGCAAGCGGCGCACAGAGGTTTTGCATATGCATAGCCTGGTGCTTTAAAATCTAAACTTACCTACCCTGTTTCCCCAAAAATAAGACAGTGTCTTATATTAATTTTTGCTCCCATAGACACACTAGGTCTTATTTTCGGGGGATGTCTTATTTTTCCATGAAGAAGAATACGGTACACATTTATTGTTAAATGAAAATAAAGGAAATTTATTACCTGTATACAGTATGGTAGTATAGTAGTTGTCAACACAAACCAGAAAAACTGTGAATCTATAGTATCAAGATTTTTCTCATTTATTAAATAACAATCATGTCATCATCTTCTGGAACAAGCCAATTCCTGAATTTCCTAGTGAATTTCTTGTGACTCCATTTCTTATTTTTGAGGGGATGCCTTATATTTCACTCAGAAGGAAACCTGTAAGCAGGTTTTATTTTCGGCAAAAACGGTAACAAACTGCAGCTCAGTCAGTGAGACCCAGAACATGCAAAAGGTCCGAGGCCCCGCGGTAGATTGCATTTGCTTCACAGTTGGGCCTCATCTGGAAGTCTTCAAAACCCAAAAAACAGGAATCTGATCATCTCTCTATAGCGCCTGCTGGGTGGCCACAGGCAGAGGCTAACTTCGCACCTCCTTGGAGATCCAAGAGAAATGTAGCCAGGGGCCAGAGAAGGACCATCCAGATTACAACTGCTCAAATCTACAAGGGACACACTTAGTGAGCATTAAGCCACACTGAAGCAAGTCTTGCCTTATAAGTGTGTCTCCAGCACAGAAGTTCTCCCATCATAGACACAGCTTACACTCACTTCCAATTTTCCTTGAGGTCAATTCCTCCCAGTGATACCAACAACAATCAAGGCTTAACTACAAAACGACTGTGTACACAGCCCACAAAGGGGTGCACCAAGAGTGTGCACCTTAGGTAACTGGGGAGGCTGAGCCACTGGGCCCTATAGGGCACCTAGCGCACCAAACCACTCTGTCAACACAGAGAAGCAGCCAAAATGCGAAGACAAAGAAACAGGTCACAAATGAAAGAAATGGAGGAAAGCAAACACCTGGATATAGACTTCAAAACCATGGTTATAAGGTTTTTCAAGAATTTTCTAGAAAAGGCTGATAAATTTAGTGAGACCCTCGAGGGTAGAAAAAGGACCAACTAGGAATTAAGCATGCATTGACTGAAATTAAAAATAATATATATAGAGACCCAACAGCAGACTCGCAGATTGCAAGAGTCAAATAAAACTTTGAAATACAAAGTAGCAAAATATACCCAACTGGAAAAGCAAGAAATAAAAAAGAATCCACAAATATAAAGATGGCGTAAGGAGCTTCTGGGACAACTTCAAGCGTATCAATATTCAAATTATGGGCATACTAGAAGAAGGGAGAGAGCAAGATACTGAAAACCTATTTGAAGAAATAATGACAAAAAACTTCCCCCACCTGGTGATAGAAATAAGACTTAAAAGCCTAGGAAGTGCAGAGAATGCCCAAACAAAAGGAATCCAAAGAGGACCACAGCAAGATACATCAGAGTTAAAATGCCAAGAGCAAAAGACAAAGAGAGAATCTTAAAAGCAGCAAGAGAAAAACAGTTAGTTACCTCAAGGGAGCACCCATACCATTGTCAACTGATTTCTCAACAGACACTATGCAGGTCAGAAGGAAGTGGTAAGAAATATTCAAAGCAATGAACAGCAAGAACCTACAACCAAGATTATTCTACCAGGCAAAGCTATCATTCAGAATTGAAGGTCAGATAAATACCTTCACAGATAAGAAAAAGTAAGAGTTCAACACTGCCAAGCTAGAATTATATAAAATGCTAAAAAGTGTTCTGGAAGAAGAGGAAGAAGAAAATGGTAAAGATAAAAGTTATGAAAAACAAATACATATGTATCAACAAATGAATTTAAAAATCAAGTGAATAAAAAATCTGATGAACAGAATAAACTGGTGAATATAATAGAATCAGGGGAATAGAAATGGAGTGGGCTGACAATTCTTGGGGCGGGGGAAGGGTTGTAGGGTATGGGAAGAGACTGGACAAAAATTGCCCACCTATGCATTAGGATACAGTGTACTGGTAGGGAGGTAAGGGCAAAGGGTGGAAGGGGAAAGGGGTAGAGGAGAGATATGGGGGGAAAAAGAGAAACAATTGTAATAATCTTAAATAACAACAATTTACTAAAACAAAGAAACTAAAAACCACTAACCATAAGAAAAAAGCATCTTAGTAAAAATGAAAATTAAATACATCATGTTTAGCTAATAGTAAAAACTCTCAAGCTGATGAGCAGTTCAACAGTGGCCAGAACTGACAGATCTCCAGAAGTTCCATGGAGCCACATGTCACCACTTCCTCTA